ATCCTGGACAAATGGTTGTCCGGTCTCTTCTTGAAAACCTCCAATGATGGAGCATCTACATCCCATAATGTTGTTGTTTAATGACCCCGTAATCCCTTGCGGGGTGGAGTCAGGGCAACTGAATGGAGTTTCCTGGCCGGATGCCCTTCCTGTCACCAATGAGGAGTTTTGCAGCAGATATATTCCCATTGTGCCCAGAGAGAGAAATATCTGCCTCTACCTGGGATCGAACTCACAGCCTCCTGATTGTGAGGGTAAGAGCTCCACCCCTAGGCCACCGCACCACTCATATCTACTACATTCCCATAATGAAGCTTATATATTGCTGAATAAGGAAAAGCCTTTTTGTGAGGGGTTGCAAATATTAGAAACAATGGTGAATACCCTTTTAGCAAATACAGCAAATCTGTAGGATCATTTCCCCTCCACCTCATTCCAAACATTTCTTTATTATTATTTTTTAATTATTTTTATTATTCATATTTCTGTGCCGCCCACTCTCCAAGGACTCTGGGCGGCTTACACCAAAGACAATATACTAAATAGCATATTGCCCCCAACATCTGTGGGGGCACCTACCCTCTGGAACCAACTGCCCCCAGAGATAAGGAGAATCCAAGACCTCGGTGCCTTCTGCCGTGCCCTTAAAACTTTCTTTTTTCAGCAAGCCGGGCTGGCTTAACACTTTTAAATGTTTTTAATTAGTTTGTCATCATTTTTTAATTACGGGGCCAAATTTATATATATCTTTTTAATAGTATTTTAATGTTTGTAGTCTATGTTTTTATTTGGCTGTACACCGCCCTGAGTCCTCAGGGAGAAGGGCTGTATATAAATTTGATATAAAATAAAAATAAATAAATAAATAAAACAATCTGGGTCCTCATTTTACCCACCTCGGAAGGATGGAAGGCTGAGTCAACCTTGAGCTGGTGAGATTTGATCCGCTGATCTAGCAGTCAGCTGAAGTAGGTGCAGTACTGCACCCTAACCACTGCGCCACCTCGGCTCTATATTTAGAGCTTTAATTATCCCTGTACCCCAATAAAACCAGATTTTTTTCTCCTCCTCCTCCAAGTTTATTTTCACTTAGAAATAAATTAAAGTGGCACTGAGCGCCACGTGGAATAACTAGGTGACTGAAAGAAGGAAGTACGCTTGTTTCAAAACTAATACAATATTAGTTTAATAACTCATTTTCTCGTTGGAGGAAATTTAATCCTTTGACAAGCAGTTTTAAAAAATCCTTTTATTTCTCTTCCAGCGCTTAAGCTATAGAAACAATTTTCTATTGGCATTCACAGCTGGAGTCTTCTAGTCAGAGACTTTGCTGAGCTCCTTGCAGGAATTAAAAGACTTAATTTCTGTTTGGGAAACAGTGAAAATCAATATAGACCCGCTTCTTAAAAGTATTACTGTGTCATTTTTTTTTCCCAAGCAAGGATTAACTAAATATGGATACGAAGCTTGTTGGTATCTTTGTTTTTCCAAACATACTTACAAAATGAAATTTTCCCTCTCCCCCCAACTCTCCGTTACGGGCGGGGAAAAAAATCCTTTTTTGAAAGTTTTTATTGGATGTTTGCAAAGCAGAAATTCGCAGGGATTTCTGCAAAAGTTGGTTCTGGTTTAATATCAAATAACGTCAAATTTTTTTACTACCGGTTCTGTGGGTATGGCTTGGTGGGCGTGGCAGGGGAAGGATAATGTAAAATCCCCATTCCCTCGCCACTCCAGGAGAAGGATATTGCAAAATCCCCATTTCCTCCCCACTCCTGGGGGAAGGATATTGCAAAGTCTCCATTCCCTCCCCACTCCAGGGGAAGGATACAGTAAAATCTCCATTCCCTCCCCACTCCAGGGGAAGGATACTGTAAAATCCCCATTCCCTCCCAATCAGCTGGGACTCGGGAGGCAGAGAATAGATGGGGGCGGGGCCAGTCAGAATTTTTACTACCGGTTCTCCAGAACTGGTCAGAACCTGCTGAAACCCACCTCTGGAAAGTGCATGCGCGGGGCGAACCGGTGGTAACAATATCTGAAACCCACCGCTGGATAACGTGCTCAGGGTTCTCTTAGGCCAAATCGTGCTTTGATGGCACATCTGAACCTTTCCATGGCTTGGCTGGGTTTATACCAGCCTTTCCATCAAAGAAGGTTGCTCAAAGGAGCTAGCAATCACAAAGAGTCAAATTAATTAAGAACGTGGTTAAAAACATCTCTTCAAGAAAAAAAGATAGCACTCCATCAGTGGTCCGTTCAAAGCCCAAATTGGTCGCTGTAGATATCCTCTTAAAATGTTGTTGTTAGTTGCGAAGTCGTGTCCAATCCATCGCGACCCCATGGACAACGTTCCTCCAGGCCTTCCTGTCCTCTACCATCCTCTGGAGTCCATTTAAGCTCACGCCGACTGCTTCAGTGACTCCATCCAGCCACCTCGTTCTCTGCCGTCCCCTTCTTCTTTTGCCCTCCATCGTTCCCAGCATTAGGCTCTTCTCCAGGGAGTCCTTCCTTCTCATTAGGTGGCCAAAGTATTTGAGTTTCCTCTTCAGGATCTTGGCCTTCTAAAGAGCTGTCAGGGTTGATCTCCTCTAGGACTGACCGGTTGGATCGCCTTGCAGTCCAAGGGACTCGCAGGAGTCTTCTCCAGCACCAGAGTTCAAAGGCCTCCATTCTTTGGTGCTCAGTCTTCTTTATGGTCCAACTTTCACAGCCATCCATTTCAACTGGGAAAACCATAGC